CGGCCGCCCCCGAAGGGGAGGGAAGCGGGCAGCCACGGGTCCCCCAGCGCAGCCAGTGCCCTCGCCGACGGGGCTGAACACGGCGTGCAGAGCTGGCTACCGGTAACGGGGTCCATCGCCAGCCCAAAACACAGCAAGCGATGAGCCAGGTCCAGGGTGCAACCAGGGAGCACAGGCAGGAGCAAAACATGGCCAGAGATGAGCTACAGCGTGGGGCCGAAGTCCTCCCAGGAGACAGCGGCAAGGGCAGAACTGGAGATGAGCTCTGCACCTCTGAGGGGCCCCTCCAGGGATGAGCCGCTGGCAACACAGCTCTCTGCGGAGACAGGCTGGGAGCAGGCACCCCACAGCACAGCTCAGGAGGGGGCTAGGGCCCAGGGCTGAGGCTAAATGGGCTCCTGGGGCGCGGGTGGGGGCCCCAGGTGGGGCTGCTCAGGGCTGTGGGTGCTCCCAGGACAGTCGTCCTGCAGAGGGGCTGCTCTCCAGCCCACCTCTTCCGCAGCACAGAAATGCGTGAACGGTGCGACCGCTCGGGGTCTTGTGCTGAGCCCTTAGGAGGGAGCCAGGGCATGGTCTGCATTCAACCAAAGCCGCTTGCCTGCGGCCCCGCTGCCCGCAGAGCCACGGCTGGGAGCAAACGCCCGGATCCGGCAGCGTTTGCGAAGTCTCAGGACAGGCTCTGTAGGACGGAGGGGCTGGAAGCACTGGTCTGTCAGCCGTAACAGAGTGGGCTTCTGCGTTGCAGGGAGACCATGGCACCGTACACCATCCCGACCGAGCTGATCGTGGTGGAGGAGATCCCGCGCAATCAGATGGGAAAAGTCAACAAGAAGGAGCTTCTGCAGCGCTTTTACTCAGCCTAGAGCGTGGCCTTGGGCCAGGACCAGGAGCCCGGGGGGTGTTTGATCCTCCACCACATCCGTTCTCCCTCTACAACGGCCCTGACGAGGTACCAGCGGTGATGAGCAGTGGCAGGTCTGGGCTCACTGCAGTCCGGTCCATGAATAAAGTCCAATAAAAGTAGGATTCATCCCACGTGGTCTCTTTGGCTGAACTGAGCCAGAGCTGCAGGGCCACTTTCCTTGGGCAGGAGCCATTTGCAGGGGGCTCGGGGCAGTCCTGGGTCTAGAAGCAAAGCGTGGGATGAACGCTGGGGGGGGTCCCAGGCCAGGACTGGCCCCCACG